GGACTGGCTGAATAAAATTCAAGTCTTTCTAATGGTAGATATGGTCTGGCAGGCCAAATTAGAAGTCTTAAGAGGTCATATTTTGCCCTCAGGCCTCAGTTTGGACAATTTGCTGCTCTGAGAGGAGGACTGTATATGTGCCTCTGCATCCACCTACCCTAGTGCACCACCAGGGAACACTGCCTGCTGCCTGAGTTTTTGCATTTTAAACAGCTTAAACTGATCATAGAAAGAAGTTTGACGTTTGTCATAAGTTTAGCGCATGATTCCAACTGGAATTGGATTTGACTTGGCCTGGAACACAGCGCTCTCCTGCCTTCACTGCTGGTTTCTCTGTCTTTCATCCAATGACTCTGTATACACCCCACTTCCCTTCTTGCCACAGATCTTCATTTTTAGACCAGTTTGATACCATTTCCGATTCTTGAACCTAGTATTGACCGATACTGAGTATCGTTACAGTACCAGTGCTCTTTTTTTCCTTCCTCAGTTAAAATATTTCATATGGGACTATTCTTTTATGTGTAACATGTAACAATGTAACATGAGGCTGTAACTACCTGCTACGTTAAAGGAGCAATATGTAAGATGACAACCTGTCAAATCCACACTCCACTCTCCAAAGAAATAGGGGGCAACATATCATCAAAGTTGTGGTGTCCACCCTTATGATAAGAAACAAGGAAATGCACAGCACCCCCCTTATCAGACTAGAACTCTTGTATTGCTGCTGTTTATGTCACTTTTTTTTTCTCTGCTGCTGAAAGTGTTTTTTGCAGGCGGCAGTGGTTACAATGGTCGCTTGCCAAGAACTTCAGCCATCGTTGCATTTCCTGTTCCTTTTATTGGCTTCCTGTCCTTAAAGCAACATGATGTAACAATCTTACCTTTAAATAATAGCTTTAAAATAATTTTGATGGTACATTGACTAATAACAGGGAGAATCGCAACATAATTGACAAGAGGTTAGAATATGCCATCGGGGCAGTGCTGCTACTTCGTCCTCTCATGTTGGACTGATGGCAGACTTGATGCTACAGTGACGCACTATCGCCTCTTGAGGAACAAAGTGGTATTACAATGGGCCGTGCCTAGCTGGTTAGCATGCTAACTTCAGTAGATACGTATCTCTGCAACACAATACATAGATGTCTTTAACATAACGTCAAAACTGTTATTTCTTCACTTTCTTCACATGAATTGATAATTTTAGTTCATTTTGCTATGTTTTAAACTAAAAATCTTACAAATTGCAGCTTTTATATATAAAAGTAAAATAAAACAAATTACTAATATAATACTATGGATATGGTCATCCATTACCACTGGATCTTATTTCAGCCTAACAGCGTATTTTATCGCAGATGAGTGGCAGCAGCGTCTCCAAACAAGAGCAGTGAATGAGAGACTTCCAGTTCTCTTGCCACATCACTTCCATTTGTTTTATTAATAAAAGATATTGGACATAAATGCATTATGGATCATTACAAATACTTTTTTTTTAAAACTACCAGGTCCTCAGACAGTAAGAAAATAGAAATCATGTATAGAAAAAAAAGATGCATCGAGATTCTTGGCAATTTTTGACTAATAAAACATGTTTTCAAACGTACACCTCTGTTAGCTGCTAAATTTTGGTTTGTAGTACTGTATTTTTTAGCCTGCTACCGCCAGAAAACCACTTTACCATGTTTGTTTATTGTATGTTAATATCCAGCTCATAGCTTTCTTTCTTACCCGAGATGAGCCAATTATCTGAACTCTTATAGACACTTGAATATCAAAGTTAGTCAGAGGGCCCATCCCTCATTAATACACAATGCACTGTTAGAAGTTCATAACGAAAATGGCTAAGAAATAGTTTTGAATGTGGATTGATCCATTTAATAATGTTAAGTAAAGAGGCTTTTCTGGCATCTCCTTGCAGCTCTGCAATGGTATCTGTCTATTTCTACCTCTGTTGGTTGTGTCTGTGATTCATTATGAGGGCAGGTAAAAGCAGGGCTAGAGATCTTGTGCAGTGAGCTGCTGTTTCTGCATGTATACATATTCCCAGAAGGAGCTGAAACCAGGCTGTGTTGCCAAGCATTGGTTTTCTGTACCTATAGAGGATGGGACCATAGACACTGGGAAACCTTCTGACAACCAGTGGTAGCAATGATGCTTCAGCATGTCATCCACCCACATGCGGTCAGTCTCTGGGAGAGACATGGAGTAGCCAGGCTGGAGCCCTGCACCTTATCTTCCCCCAGGGAGCTCTCACTATTCAGCCAAGTGTGAAATCAGGAGTCCTTCCCCGAGATGTTTCCTCCCACGATCATGCCAAGAGAGACGAGGAAAGGGAGGAAAATTGGCTCCAAGCCTGGGAGGTTGGGCTCTTGTCTGTTTTATTCATTTGCTCTTCCACTCTTTCTCAGTCCTTTGTCCTGTCTGCTTTATTGGAAAAACCCATCAGCACTGAAATTGCTTGTGGTGAGGCTTTGATGGCAGCTCTGGTTGATCCTCACACAGACTCCACAGAGCCTACAGAAAGTCATTTTCTTACAATTGCTGAGCAAAAGCACTTCATCTGGAATCGACTTATTTGTTTGTGGCATACTTGGCTCTGAAGATGTTTTTTGGAGCATGTCTTGTTATGTTCAGAGCACAGAGCAAGAATGATGTGAATCAGAGAAAGACAGTAATAATTTGATTTCCCGTGGAGTTCAGATGCCTAATAATTCATGTGAGCTACATGGTAAATGGGGGCTGTTGAACTGACAGTGCAAGGAAGTGTTGATGTAATGAAAGTCTGCTGTAACCCATGTGTCAGTTAAAAATCAATAAATTACATGACAGAGTTGGCAAGAATCCAGGCAGTGGAAGTTAGCTAGCTGCTATCCAACCAGCCATTGAGAGAACGACAGGAATAGACCCAATAATAGAGGACACAAAGGCAGAAAGAGTCCAGTGTAATAAGAGAGATCTTGTGACATAACACAGGGTTAGCAGAATGTGTGAAATGATCTCTTGCAGCACAGATCACCAAACTACACCAAATCATGCTACAGTAACTCTTCCTTAGCCTGATTTGTTGAAAAATTGTCTTTATTGCGTAGAACATCAATATTAAGATGCAGTTAACAAAGCTTTGTCTATAAAAGTGATTTATGATATCAGCAGTACAGTTGTGAGACAATATTTATGAACCCCTTGGAATTATTTAGACTTCTGCATTGATGGCTTCTCTTCATCTGAATCACAATAATTAATATTTTACATTAATTAATTAACATTTTACAAAACTCTTACAGTTTAGGACTTTTATAATGTCTTATGTGACCTGCCTGCTTCTGCAACATTTCAATGAGATTGAAGTCAGGAAAGGTCCAATATAGAATACGGAATTCTTTCTGTTTGAGCCACAGTTTTTATTGACATTTTCTAACAAAACACTAGAATAAATCAAGACAGTCAAGGAAATGGGGGGAGAGAGAAGGGGGCAGATCTCAAATTACAATTTTTCACTAAGTTCATGCGAGCACATCAGTCTTATCACTCAAAAAGAAAAATAGTCCCTTCCACAGTTCAACAGTGGATATTCTGACAATACAAGATTTAGTAGTGATTCAATCCCAAAATCTTTAAATTGGTGTCCAGTTTAAACCCTGGAGAATATATTTTTCCCCAGCTGTAAACCCTGCAAATGCCATACGCTTCTGCAGAGAGTTTAAAACCAGAATAATCATTTAGCAGACAAAGACACGGGTCTAGCTTGAGATTGACACCAATAAGCTTTAATACCGTTTGAGTAACATACTTCCAGAAGTTAGCTATGTATGTAGGGGTCTCCCAGAATGCATGCAGAAAAGTAGTAGTAGTTTAGGCAAAGACTGCAGTGTGGGTTGTGATATATGGTGTAGGCCTAACTCCAGTAATTTTATAACGTATCAAAAGATGAGCAATTGCGGATTTTAAGAGCAGTGGTTTCCTCTGTGCTAAACTCCCGTTATCACTCTTGTTCAGTGTTTATGATAGAATTGTGAATGCAGACGTTATCACTTGTTTGAGAGTTCTGTGATATGCACTTTCACTTATCTTTTTAGGATGGTCTGTCCAAGGGAGAGTAGTGGTGGTTCTGATTTTCTTAAGAATTCCTTTCATCTGACTGCGGGCTAATGGAGGCCAAAGCTTTCACCAATGCACTTGTAACCCTTACAAGTCCTATGAGCTTCAGCACCTTTTCTTCAAGGTTCTCTGAAATCTCTGTTGTTCTGATGAAGCATGTAGCACATGTGGTAACCAAAGTGTGTGGAATTTTGTTTGAAAAGTTAGTTCAAACACACACCAGTGTTGTATGGAACACCTGACTCCAGTTACCCACAAGAGGTAACTATAGTAGAGGCTTTTATACTTTTTTGTATTAGTAACCTTGATTATTTAAACCATTTGGGCAATAAAACATGGTTGATGTCAAAAAAATGTATCTTCATTTTTATTTGTTTTTATTTTTCTTGATTATTTGAAAATGGCAGCTGGTCTTTACATTGTGTGGTTTCATGATGAATGGACTAAAATCACTTGGAATAAAACCTCTTAACATTAACTTACACAAAACCTTAAGAATGTTGTAACAGTCTCCTGTGTAGTTAGTCAACCGTTTTGGAGATGCATGTTTTTCTTCGGGCAGTGGCGATACGTAAAATGATGTATGTATTTGTTAAACAACTTATGTGATTATGTGTTAGATGAAGATCAGGGGCCCATATTGGCCAAATGTCTCAGAATAAACATGAGATCTGAGATCGATTTAGGCCTTTACATAACTTTGAATCAAATCACATGAATTGATGATACCTGATCTCAAATCAGAAGTCTTGCGCGGAGGTATTTGATAAATATGGGCCCAGGTTACATTCCACAAGAACCTTCTAAAGTGTTCGGAGACCTGTTCTTACAGCTGTGTACTACAAACAATACAGATTTATATTACAGAATTCCCCTTCTTTTGTCTCCCGCAGGACGTTTTTCCAAGTTGCTGTCCAGGATTGTCCAGTGGCGAGGTGAGGCAGGGTGAGGCGAGGAGGGGCCACTGACCGGATGCCCTTTGCGGCGGGAGCCGCGTGGCCTTGACCATGAGCCGGCTGATGTTGGGCCGGACGCTGGAGCGGATCTGCAAGGCTGTGCTGCTGCTGTGCCTGGTGCACTTCCTCATCATGATGATCCTCTACTTTGATGTGTATAGTCAGCGCTTTGACATCTTTAGCCGCTTCAACAACGGCCGCGGCGCCAACGCCTCCCGGGGGCCCCACCACTACTATTACAACTACTCCAACGGCAGACCCAACACCACCTTTGCTAGCTACCTGGCTGCTGCTGACCAGCTCTCACCCACCGCCAAGCCTGAGGCCAACCGCACACACCCCACCCCTAAGCCCATTCCTCCATGCCCAGAGGTGCCTCCTGGACTTGGTATGGGATGCTTTCTTTTGCTGTTTTCGCTTTGGGTTTGCATGTTGTTTTTTCAGCATATGCGTTACTGGGTACAGCCATCTAGTCCATACAGGTGTAATGATTTCAATACAGTATCGATAAAAAGAGTGTATAGAAATTTAAAACGGTACTGCAGATACACCCGTTAGTCTTTTCTGAGGGTCTCTCACTTTTTCTTTCATGGAAACCACAAAGCATGAAAAAGTTGAAACAGTGGCTTAGTTGTAGTTAATGCTGTCAGACTTTCCAAATCACTGCCCAGAATTTTGCACTTATTTTAATTATGTTTCTGTGACACATTTATGTTGATATTTCAGTTTTGTGAGGTGGAAATAGAGATTATATAAGGTTTTATGTGAGCTCAGTGCTGAGTTTTCTTGTCTTAGTTTTTATACTTTTCATTAAGGTCCCTATTTTGATATGGCCAATACAGTCATATGCAAAAGTTTAGGTGCTTCTGGTCAAATGAGGTTTCATTGATTAAAGTAGAAATAAGTCAACACATCTACAGAGAACACACTTTTTAATGCACACATTTTAATGCACAATTACTGCTTATTTTCTGAATGTAGCATGTGTGGGGGTAAAAGTATATGTGGCCTGTGCTAGAAGTTATAGAACATTTTTCTTTTCCAGTATGGTAAACTAAATAGTATTTGTGCACAAAAAATTGCAGAAAAATTCCTTATTTAAGTTCTCTGTTGAGAAATATCTTATACCTATAAAACCTATAATTTGTATTCAACTTACATACAACTGTTTTTGTGACATGGTTATGTTGATATTTCAGTCTTGGGAGGTTGAAAATGGAGGCAATAAGAGGTTTTATACAAGCTCAGTTGTGCTCTTTCATAGTTTTCTAGACTATTTTGTCTCTTCTATAGTATTTCTGTTTTTCTATAAGATCACTATTTTGACATGGTCTGTTTGTAGAGATGATCATATGGTCACCGTTTTGCAGAAGGATATACTACTTTATAATCTTGCTTTGAAATAAATAAAATAATTTGTCAATCTTTGTAGTACATAATTAGAGCTTTGTAGAATCAAGACATTTTGAAGACATTAAATATCAAAAATTGTGGCCTCAGAATTGAAAATAAAATCTGAAAACATGTTTATTTTAACATCTCTACTAGTCAGCTGAATTATTTTGCGGCACATGCATTGGTCTCTAACTTGATGTTGCAAAACAGTCAAAACCCTGACCCAGGGAGGGCCCAGGGCCGCTTTCTTCTGACTAAGCGCCGAAGTGGAAAAGAGGGCGAAAGTGGGACAAACTGCGATTCACAAGGCCTCTAATGGCAGCTCTGGGAATGCCCCGTGTCAGAGCATTTTATTGACAGCTAAAGGGGACAGTTTAAAACGCAGTGAGAGAAGAGCCAGATCAGGGTATTAAAAATGGGGAGCCTTGTCTTTATAACAATAAGAATAAAATCTCTTTCATAACTACAGTGTAATAATGCTTGCAGAGCAGATCAAACGGCTAGTTATGCGAGGGAATGCGAGAAAGAAGAGCAAAGGGAGGGGGGTGTATTCATGCCTGGAAACTCTTAATTAGCACTCTCTGAACAGGAGATAAAATGGTAGAAGCAGAATCTGTGTGTGTGTGCGGCAAAATGTAGGCAGCCACTGTGATGCCTCTCCGTGTTGTAATGGATTCTCTGCATACTCCAATTAGTCTAAAAGCTGGTGTCCCGCTCTGTTTTCTAGACTGAGCGGAGAGGCATAACAGATCTGGCGTCAGCCATCTTCCTCAATGTGACGTATTTAATCCTAGACGCTTCACCTATCCAGAATTCTCCTGCTGTGTCGGAAAGCCTCACCTGCATGCGACACTCGTCCTTCTCATAAGTTTGATGGCCTTGGTTGGATATCATCTGCAAGGGTCAGGCTTTGCGTGGGTGATTCTGGTGCAGACACTGCCTAAAACTGTTCAGTCCTAGACTTTGTACAGCTGCCTCACAACATACTACAATATACTATACTAATAACTGTGGTAAACAGTTAAACCAGGTTCGGTGCTTTATCTTTACCTCGTTTTAATTAAAGATGACAATATCACTACAACCACAACTTCTACTGAACTGTGCTTTTATTATTTTCTTTTATTTGACGAAGATAAAACTTCAACTCGTACACCATCACTGTGTTTGTGGTGTTTTGTCAAATAAATAATAAAAGCACAGTTTAGTAGAAGTTGTTGTATACTATCATCTTTAATTTGGCCTTGAAATTGTAAGTGATCTAGTAAGGCAGAATGCAAGTGTCACATGAACATTACCATCCAATGCCATAGTGTCTGTAGCCACTTAGCTTAGCCTGTTTGTATGAGAACTGAGACACGACAGTGTCTGAAACCTGATGCTGATATCTGAGGATGTCCTAAGATGTATACCGTACCATAAAGGCAGCTTTTTGTCCAGGCGTGATATCTGCCACACTGAGTGTGCTAAACCAGCTCAGCTCAATATCCACATCTCTACAACAACTTCATCTTTATTGGGTATTGATAATATGGCATTAATGTAGGATATCCCATCACCCAGCATGTTTAGTTATGTTCAGTTATGTTCACGGATTGGAGTACTAGACCCCATTTGCACCTTCACTTCATGTGACTGGTATCTGGGTTGTGTCCTGATAAGATTTTAGCCACATGCATTCACACTTGGTAGCCAAATGCGTCTCCAGACTCAAATCCAATTGCTGTGTGGAAAAGAATATGCGAATCTGCTCGTTACGTGGTAAACAAAGACCGATTCTTTATCCGTTCAGCCTCGTCTGTAGTACTGCCTGAGGAGGAGTTTTGGTTGTACTGGGAGGGGTTTTGGTGTGTGTCTTGGAGAGACAAATGCCTTTACACTGTTATGGCCTAAATGTGTCTCAGGCCACCTGCTGAAGTGGTTTGTGCAATCAGATTTTTATCTGTTTCAAATGTGTCTTGGGTGTGCATTTTTATGTGGCTTGGTCTTATCCAGATACACTCCTGATACTCAACGCATGATGTGACCAGGTGTTAATGGGGTCTGAGTGTCTTGCTATGAATTGCATGAAATAAATCAATAAATGAACAACCTTTTTTATACCAATGACAAATGAGTTTTTACAGTTGCTGGGGTCTGTTACCGTGGAAACTCTGTTTGCCGCCACTGGCCATGGATTGTATACTTGATCTCATTCTTACATTAGTCATTGGTTTTTATTGGTTAATCTGAGTACTTCTGTATAATGATAATGCTCACTTTGTCTTGTGTTGTGTTGGTTTGTTCCACTGTTGACCTGTTTAGGGGTGGGTGCCCCTTTTGAGTCTTGGTTCCTCTGAAGAGTTTCTTCCTTCCTTCCTCTTGGAACAGGGCTTCTGTAAAACTGCTTTGTGACAACAACTCTTTTTGTGAAAACCGCTATACAAATAAATTAGAATTTAATTTATTTAATTGAATGATGGACTGGCGACCTGTCCAGGGTCCTGCCTTCCGCCCAATGACAGCTGGGATAGGCTCCAGCACCCCACCGCGACCCAGAAGGATAAGCGGTTTAGATGATGTATGTATGTATGTATGTATGTATGTATGAATGATGCCTGCAATAAAAAGCAAATGACCTCTTTAGACACTCAGCACAACTGGCCTTGTTTTTGCTATATTGCTATTCCCAATCTGCTTGCATTCCGCATGGAATAAGCAAGGACAAGAGCGGCCCTAATCCATACACTGGAGGAGGTCTACTGTACTGTGAATGTGACACATCTGTAGCCGTGATTATGCAACTGAACTCAAAGCTCTACTATAGCGAGAGGACCGCCTCTCCCTGAGCAGTGCACCCCATCAGCACGAAGAAAAATGCTCATTAACTACAATGTCATTGTGCTGCATTTTCTTGCTCGTAATGAGGCAACCTTTTGTAATGAATGCGCTGTACCTCCATTTGATATGCCTGCAAGCACTAGGCCTTTGCCACCCATATCCTTCTAATGAGTTTTAAGTGGAGCTCTTGAGGGAGTTGAGAGTTGTGCTGCGTCATGTGAGTCATATGCATTAGACCCACCCCCTGCCAACCTTGCTTATGCTCTGCCCCCCTACACACTCTCCCACATTCTGTTTGTAGTCTCTTTTACCCACTCTCACTGTCATCCTCTTTTTGTACTCTGGGTCCTGCTTTGGTACTGATGAGAGTTCCTAACGTAGCTACCTTATCACTTTTTAGTTGTTTACATCTCCAACCACAAAGCTCCTCCACCCGCCCCACTGCATGACAAAGTAGCTGTAAGTCTGTCCTTAAGCTTTACTGTAGCATGTCAGGGCAAATTTAAGAGTGCTGTTGCCTCGAATGGGAGCAGTATACAAGCGAACATTTTTTATTCTCTGTAGAATCTTTTTCTTGATTTTTGCCTTTCTCTCTACTGGCTGGAAGAGAGGCTAAAAAGAGGCCTCTGTTCTCTGTACAGCTTTGTAGAAGAATGGTGTACTTCAGAGATGTTGTTTTTGAAAGGCAGGAGAAAGCTGTTCATGAGAGCCTCCTTGCGTTTCACAATGGCAGAGCCATGATTCAGTTCCCTGTTGGCAGGATGATTCAGTACTACGAGACGTACAGTATGGCACGTCTATGTAGAGTTTTGAATTTTGACTGCCAAGACAAGGCGAGCTAGTCTACAGTGAATACTTCGGGGTACTGCCAGATGGTGTCGACTACAAACTGCCAAACATTTTTTGGAAAATAATCTTGATTGAGACATAAATAAACACATACAGCAAAGTTACATTGAAAATCTGACAAGCTGCTATCATGTTAAGCAACTTTTCCTCTCCTGACTGACATCCTGTATGTATTATGTTCTTATCACAGGGATGTAAGATCATTTGTCTGTTGTCTATCAGATCATAGCGATTCCCTAGTGAGCATAGCTTGCACTGTGGTATGTTTAACTATGCATGTGGCTTGGAGCTTAGAGAGGCATGTGCATCCTCTGATGGTCACAG